AAAGCTAACTAAACCAAAGCTAACTAAACCAAAGCTTACTAAACCAAAGCTAACTAAACCAAAGCTAACTAAACCAAAGCTTACTAAACCAAAGCTAACTAAACCAAAGCTTACTAAACCAAAGCTAACTAAACCAAAGCTTACTAAACCAAAGCTTACTAAACCAAAGCTAACTAAACCAAAGCTAACTAAACCAAAGCTAACTAAACCAAAGCTTACTAAACCAAAGCTTACTAAACCAAAGCTTACTAAACCAAAGCTAACTAAACCAAAGCTAACTAAACCAAAGCTAACTAAACCAAAGCTAACTAAACCAAAGCTAACTAAACCAAAGCTAACTAAACCAAAGAGCCACTAAACCAAAGCTAACCTTACCAAAGTTAACCTAACCAAAGCTTACCTAACCAAAGCTAACCTAACCAAAGCTAACTAAACCAAAGCTAACCTAACAAAAGCTAACTAAACCAAAGCCACTAAACCAAAGCTAACTAAACCTAAGCTAACTAAACCTAACCTAACCATACATAAACCCAACCCTCCCCTCAACATTTAGGCCTCAACCCGCAGTTAACACCACCGTACTCACACATATGGTAATCAAGTAGTTAATTACATTATTACAAGATCATAATTATTAATTATTATATGTAGAGAAACATGTTAACACTTGGTGAGTACCCACATATATTTTGTTGCTGTATTACCTGTATTTTGTGGTGTTTTGTTTAACGTTTTTAGTGAAACAACAATGTGTTGTTATCCGACACCATAATGACGCCACCAGTACTGCTACAACCCGACACCATAATGACGCCACCAGTACTGCTACAACCCGACACCATAATGACGCCACCAGTACTGCTACAACCCGACACCATAATGACGCCACCAGTACTGCTACAACCCGACACCATAATGACGCCACCAGTACTGCTACAACCCGACACCATAATGACGCCACCAGTACTGCTACAACCCGACACCATAATGACGCCACCAGTACTGCTACAACCCGACACCATAATGACGCCACCAGTACTGCTACAACCCGACACCATAATGACGCCACCAGTACTGCTACAACCCGACACCATAATGACGCCACCAGTACTGCTACAACCCGACACCATAATGACGCCACCTGTACTGCTACAACCCGACACCATAATGACGCCACCTGTACTGCTACAACCCGACACCATAATGACGCCACCAGTACTGCTACAACCCGACACCATAATGACGCCACCAGTACTGCTACAACCCGACACCATAATGACGCCACCAGTACTGCTACAACCCGACACCATAATGACGCCACCAGTACTGCTACAACCCGACACCATAATGACGCCACCAGTACTGCTACAACCCGACACCATAATGACGCCACCAGTACTGCTACAACCCGACACCATAATGACGCCACCAGTACTGCTACAACCCGACACCATAATGACGCCACCAGTACTGCTACAACCCGACACCATAATGACGCCACCAGTACTGCTACAACCCGACACCATAATGACGCCACCAGTACTGCTACAACCCGACACCATAATGACGCCACCAGTACTGCTACAACCCGACACCATAATGACGCCACCAGTACTGCTACAACCCGACACCATAATGACGCCACCAGTACTGCTACAACCCGACACCATAATGACGCCACCAGTACTGCTACAACCCGACACCATAATGATGCCACCAGTACTGCTACAACCCGACACCATAATGACGCCACCAGTACTGCTACAACCCGACACCATAATGACGCCACCTGTACTGCTACAACCCGACACCATAATGACGCCACCAGTACTGCTACAACCCGACACCATAATGACGCCACCAGTACTGCTACAACCCGACACCATAATGACGCCACCAGTACTGCTACAACCCGACACCATAATGACGCCACCTGTACTGCTACAACCCGACACCATAATGACGCCACCAGTACTGCTACAACCCGACACCATAATGACGCCACCTGTACTGCTACAACCTGACACCATAATGACGCCACCAGTACTGCTACAACCTGACACCATAATGACGCCACCAGTACTGCTACAACCCGACACCATAATGACGCCACCTGTACTGCTGCAACCTAACACCATAATGACGCCACCAGTACTGCTACAACCTGACACCATAATGACGCCACCAGTACTGCTACAACCCGACACCATAATGACGCCACCTGTACTGCTGCAACCTGACACCATAATGACGCCACCAGTACTGCTACAACCTGACACCATAATGACGCCACCAGTACTGCTACAACCCGACACCATAATGACGCCACCTGTACTGCTACAACCCGACACCATAATGACGCCACCAGTACTGCTACAACCCGACACCACTATAATTATTCCACCAGTACTGCTACAACCCGACACCATAATGATGCCACCAGTACTGCTACAACCCGACACCATAATGACGCCACCAGTACTGCTACAACCCGACACCATAATGACGCCACCAGTACTGCTACAACCCGACACCATAATGACGCCACCAGTACTGCTACAACCCGACACCATAATGACGCCACCAGTACTGCTACAACCCGACACCATAATGACGCCACCAGTACTGCTACAACCTGACACCATAATGACGCCACCAGTACTGCTACAACCCGACAACAAAACACCACCATAACGATGCCACTACAACTACAACTCGACACAAGACCACCAGCACTTCTACAACACGACACCCCAAAACCACAAGTACTGCTACAACACAATGCCACCAGTTCTGCTATTAACCAACATCACAACACTACTACTGTAACACCACCACCAGTACTGCTATGACTCTACAACACACTGCTGACAACACACTTGTCACAGTAGCAAAGCAACACCTCGGACACGAGGTAGCTTTGACACCAGCATCCCGACACCATCAAGCACCTTTACCACAACACGTGTCCCCCTGACACCACCAGCAAGTAGTCACCCTCGACCCCTCCTTGGATACAATGGCCAAGTTGTAACAAACAAGTAGATACAAGAAATAAATGTAAAATGCTTTATTTATCCTAAATTAATATTCTGGTTCTCCTCTGATGATAGGTTATACTTTTAGGTTATAAAGTTTTAAAGTGTAGATATTGAAGTGCTAGGTTCACTTGAACTAGTTGGAGAAGGTTCAATGACTGAACCCAAAACACACTGATCACTTTTTCTGTGAACCAGAGTACAGTATCTCAGGATAGTTATTCTTCAGTTTATTCCAGTCTCATTAGTGTAAATTTCTCAAGATAATTTTTCTCTGTTGATGATCTCCAGAAATTGACCTTTATACACAAGTGCTGTAGACCTGGCAGCAGACTGCCTCTCGCCTACGACCTCGACTTGTCTGACTCCATGACTGCTCTTAAATTATTTTAACCACCCAGGTCAGGGCACCTGACAGCTGGGTGGACAGCGCTTCGGATATGTAGTCCTGAGGTTCCGGATTCGATACCCGATGGAGGCGGAGATAAATGGGCAAAAAGTTTCTTTCACCCTGATGCCCCTGTACCGAGCAGTAAATAGATACCTAGGAGTTAGACAGCTGCTACGGGCTGCTTCCTGGGGGTATGTAACTAATCGGAGGACTGGTCAAAGACCGGGCCGCGGGGACAGCTAAGCCCTGAAATCATCTCAAGATAACTTCTAGATAACCCAATAGTACACGAGCATGACAAAGTTACTGTATTGTATATGAATTTTTTCACTGAAATACCTTCCTTTTTCCACAAGCTATAGAGCAGGATTTTTATATTTGATCTTGCTTCATTACTGACAATTCACTTTAGGGTAGCTTATTACTTTCCTCTTTTCCAAGTATTTACTATTATTGTTTTGATTAGAATATTTCAAAATCTTTCCTATTTTGTTTGTAATATCACTAAAAGCTGTAGTTAATATGTATTCAGCAGAGATGAATGCCTTAAGCATTACTTTCAAAACTTTCAAATTAACTCATATTTCATCACACTCAAACACAACATGTTTCCTATTCTCGAGTCTGTGTGTTGAAGGCCTTTCCAAGACATTCCTGCTGTTTTGAAACAACATTGCAGAAAGATGTTGACACGTATCCATGTATGTATCTTATGCACATATATAGATAAATACATTAATACAATTATAATCAAAATAGAAAACTTAAATTTTTGCCTGTAATTTACAAAGCCTAAAATTCTTTGTCGATATATATTTATTTTACTTCATAAAAAATTAAATGTAGTGTAAAGTATTTTCATGGTATCTATGGAAAGAGCACACCTTATTCTTATTATATATTAAAAAAAAATCCCCTACGATAAAAAGCTGTAATTATTATTGGTTATATTTACACAAGTTAATTAAATCCATAAATACTACAGAAGGCTATGAACCTTTTACCTCATGTTGAGGGAGATGTCGGCAGGAAGTGAAAAAGTACAGCAGGTCACTGTAGCAGCTGTGAATTACAGCAGGTCACTGTAGCAGCTGTGAAGTACAGCAGGTCACTGTAGCAGCTGTGAAGTACAGCAGGTCACTGTAGCAGCTGTGAAGTACAGCAGGTCACTGTAGCAGCTGTGAAGTACAGCAGGCCACAGCAGCAGCTGTGAAGTACAGCAGATCAGAGCAGCAGCAGCTGAGAGGTGGCGACGCCTCGGGCAGACACGTAACCTTGCCCACTCTGGTCTTCGCCCCGCCGACCCCCAGCTTCACCAACCCACTGAGGCACCATCCACCAGCTAGTGCCGCTCCGTGCTCTCTGCCCGCCTCGTGCCCCTCCCTGTGCCCCGAGACTCCTTCCCCCGCGCCCCAAAGTGCTGTCCACGAGCTTGTCACCTGACAATGGCGTCCAGCGCTGTTCACATCTCGCCCTCGGTGTCTCCCCGGCGCCCCACGCTCCCCCCCTTCACCGCCTCCGTCACCTCCGCCTCCTTAACAGTGTTACTTAAGAACCCTGACTTCATTTACCTTAGTGGCGGAGGCAAAATAACGCCTTCAGCAGCAGCTCTCCACTTTCTCCGTCATGGGACAATGTTTATGTTCCGAAACTTGGCGCCAAGCCTAGCATGGGACGCGCTCCACCAATCACAACTCGTACCGCTCCAGGATCAAGACTTTCATTGGCTATAAAAACGAACATTTGTTAATGTTTGGGAAATATCCTGACCGTGACCATAACACGTTTTATATAATATTTATATGTAATTTTCACGAATAATTTGGGCAATAAAAGGATATATGTAATATCTTTAACTGTTTATAATTAAATATAATTAAATTATTATAATGATTCTCCCTATCACAATGTACACTATCTGGAACTGATCCAAGTAAAACAAAAGAAAAATGTAAAATACTGCTGTAACATATTTTATTCTAATAATTGCAATAAAATTTTTGAACGAAATAAATTAGTCCAATAAGAGTGCAATATATATTATGTCTCTCCGAACCCTACACAACCCATAAATGACTACACAACCCGCCCCCATAAATGACTACACAACCCGCCCCCATAAATGACTACACAACCCGCCCCCATAAATAAAACAATGACTTAATGCTCCATAATACACCCGCCAAGCCTCCTTTTTATTAATAAAATACACTTAACACATGACTCACAACTGATGATGTTCGAACCTTTCTCGAACTTTGCTTCACACTGCCTGTGTTAAGAGTTGCACAGCCTGAGGTGAGCTAGGTTGCGTCATGTCTGGCATGTCTCCATATAAATGCTTCACCCACCTACATACTTTTCGTTTATTATTATTATTATTTTCTACTACAGACGTGGCCACACATTAGACGTATATACTGAAAATACAAGTAATTGCCAGCAGAACTAAACACCTAACCTAAGAATAATTAAACATAATATATCTAAATATCAAATAAATGGATTTAAACTATTTCACACAGATAGATATATTAGACGAGGAGGGGGAGTAGCCGTATATGTTAGGGACAATTTGAAATGTAGTCTCAAAGAGGGAATCAAAACTGAGTCACATACAGAAACTATTTGCATGTCATGCACTCAGCCCCGGGTCCAGACTCATGGAATTCAATATTTATAAAGAAATGCAAAGTGCCAGTAGCACAGGCACTCAGTATAGTGTGGAGGAAGAGCTTGGACACAGGGGACATACCAGATGCGCTTAAAGCAGCAGACATAGCCCCTCTACACAAGGGTGGTAGCAAAGCATTGGCAAAGAATTATAGATCAGTTGCACTAACGTCCCACATAATAAAAGTATTTGAAAGAGTGATCAGGAGTCAGGTCACTAGATTCATGGAAACCAATGACCTCCACAACCCAGCCAACATGGATTTAGAGCAGGAAGATCATGCCTCTCACAGCTACTTGACCACTATGACAAAATCACTGAGGCATTAGAGGAAAAACATAATGCAGATGTCGTATACACAGATTTTGCAAAGGCATTCGACAAATGTGACCATGGAGTGATTGCACACAAAATGAGGTCAATGGGTACAACTGGTAAAGTAGGACGCTGGATACTCATTTCCTGTAGAACAGAACACAAAGAGTAACAGTCAATCAAGTAAAATCGAGTCCGAGCGCAGTTAAAAGCTCTGTACCTCAAGGCACAGTCCTTCCACCACTGCTGTTCCTTATTCTCATATCAGATATAGACAAAAACACAAGTCACAGCTTCGTGTCATCCTTTGCAGATGATACAAAAATCAGCATGAAAATTACCTCTGCTGAAGACATTGATAAACTACAAACAGATATTAACAAAGTTTTCGATTGGGCAGCAGAAAATAACATGATGTTTAACGGTGATAAATTCCAGGTACTCAGGTACGGCAAAAATGAGGACCTTAAACATAATACAGGGTACAAAACACAATCGAATCTGCCCATAGTAGGAAAACAGCATGTCAAGGATTTGGGAATAATGATGTCCGTTCGACCTAACGTTTAGGGAGCATAACCAAGCAAGTATTGCATCAGCCAGAAAAATGATAGGATGGATTACGAGAACCTTCAAGTCCAGAGATCCCATCACAATGGTTGTACTCTTCAAATCACTTGTGTTGTCCCGTCTTGAGTACTGCTCAGTACTCACTTCCCCCTTCAGAGCAGGAGAGATTGCTGAAATAGAGGGAATACAGAGAACATATACGGCACGCATAGACGAGATAAAGCACCTAAATTATTGGGATCGTCTCAAAGATCTCCAAATGTACTCACTAGAAAGGAGAAGAGAGAGATACCAAATAATATACACATGGAAAATACTGGAGGGACAGGTCCCAAATCTGCACAGTAAAATAACAACATACTGGAGTGAACGACATGGAAGAAAATGCAGAATAGAACCAGTGAAGAGCAGAGGTGCCATAGGCACAATCAGAGAACACTATAAACATCAGAGGTCCGCGGTTGTTCAACGTCCTCCGAGCGAGCATCAGAAATATTACAGGGACAACCGTGGACATCTTCAAGAGGAAACTAGATTGTTTCCTTCAAGGAGTGCCGGACCAACCGGGCTGTGGTGGGTATGTGGGCCTGCGGGTCGCTCCAAGCAACAGCCTGGTGGACCAAACTCTCACAAGTCAAGTCTGGCCTCGGGCCGGGCTTGGGGAGTAGAAGAACTCCCAGAACCCCATCAACCAGGTATCAACCAGGTATTTGGATAGATTTAAACGAAAAAGCAAATAATCTTATAATAGGAGTTACATACAGGCCACCAAATTTAGACAGAATGGAAGCAAAGCATCTATGGGATTAAATATCTAAAGCATCTAGGTCTAAAAGTATTTGTGTCATGGGTGATTATAATTTTAGTGGAATAAACTGGTTGAACAAAACAGGGAATAACGAAGCAGAAGATTTTATAGAATTAATTGACGATTGCTTTCTTACGCAACACATTAAGGAACCAACGCGGGGAAATAATATTTTAGATTTAGTGTTAACTAACAGGGAAACACAAATTAATGACATAGAAATCGGAAGTGAACTAGGGAACAGTGATCACAAAGAAATCAGATTTAGCATAAAATGGAATAGATCTGCAGGAGAAAATTCTGTTAAAGTGCCAGATTTTCGTAAAGCTAATTTCAATATCCTAAGAATTTTTTGGGGGGAAATAGATTGGAAAGTCTTGGGCATAGGGGGGGGGGGGGGCCGGTCATGGAGCAAGACGTGAACCCAGCGATGTGTGATGTAAAGGAGGATTTCGATGTGGATTCAAAATATAACTTATTTACCAATATTCTAAGCAAAGCACAGGCAAGTAGTATAACTTACAAATTGAATAGATCAAATACAAATGACCCGAAATGGATAACAAAGGATCTGAAAAACTTTATAGGTAGAAAGAGAGCGAAGTACAAAAGGATTAAGAATGGAGAAGTCTGTTTAGAACAAGAATTCGCACAACTGGTTAGAAATGTTAAAAAAGAGATAAGGAGAGCAAAAAGAAACTATGAAGTTCGTATAGCAGGCCAAGCAAAGGCAAATCCTAAAGTTTTTTTTCAGTTATATCGAACAAAGGTTAGGGAAAGGATAGGTCCATTAAAAACCGAGACAGGTCAGTTAACTGGAATTAAACCTCACGTCACTGGGAGACGGAAGAGTTAGAGGGGACATGATCACCACATACAAAATTCTCAGAGGAATTGATAGGGTAGATAAAGACAGACTTTTTAACACAAGGGGAACACGCACTAGGGGACACAGGTGGAAATTGAGTGCCCAAATGAGCCATAGAGACGTTAGAAAGAATTTTTTCAGTGTCAGAGTAGTAGACAAATGGAATACATTAGGAAGTGATGTGGTGGAGGCTGACTCCATACACAGTTTCAAGTGTAGATATGATAGAGCCCAATAGGCTCAGGAATCTGTACACCAGTTGATTGACCGTTGAGAGGCGGGACCAAAGAGCTAGAGTTCAACCCCCGCAAGCACAATTAGGTGCTTGCGGGGGTTGAACCACAACAGTTGCCTAGCCCCCGTATTCATATTTACTGCTAAGTGAACATAGACATCAGGTGAAAGAAAACGTGCCCAGCCATTTCAGTCGCGGCCGAGGATTGAACCCGGGTTCCTCGGTTATGACTCGAGGACATAAGCCAGTGTATACAGTCTGTGTGATGGTGCAATCAGTTGCTACATTGTATATGTGTTCAAGGGCACATAATGTGTCAGCATGGTGAACATAAGGGTTGTGAGTGATACGTTTATTGGTGGGATATGTGTAGACGTCATGACGTTGGAAGTGACGCTGTTGTTGACTTAGGAGCCACGACGACACGTCAGGTACCGGACGTGCCCCGGCGTTCCCGTGGCGGGAAAAACGTAAACCCTTGTGGCTAGTCATCGTCTGTCGGCGGAAAAATTATTGTGCATTGAGGCACATAAACAAAACGTTAGGCAGATGCTTGGCGACCCCTGACTATCCCGGGGAGGCGGGCCCAGGCACCTAACCCTCACACGTTAACCCGTCCTCTTAAGGTTTCCCAATGTCGATTGATTGATTGATTGATAAAGATTAAGCCACCCAAAAGGTGGCACGGGAATGAATAGCCCGTAAGTGGTGGCCCTTTTGAGCCATTACCAGTATCATTAGCTGATACTGAAGATCTGTGGAGGTGCGACTGCACCCAGCGTGACGGGAGATGTCTCCCCCGTGTCCCAATGTCAAGAAAACGGTCATATTATAGTGTCCTCTCCTAACCTACCAGTAGAACTAAAACAGAAAACGGGACAGTACGTCACTTTCGCGAGCCGCTTCCATTTCTAATACGACAGTTTTTTGCTTTATGTAACACATACAAGCGAAAAGCGATGTTCTTTATAGGGGGATAGGTTAATGCACACGTAGCCAACTGGAAGACTGTCCATTGGCGCCCAGTGACTCCAGACGATAGATTTTGATTGTTGCCGCCGGAGGCGGCTAGGTTATTGTGCACCCCATACTCATCCTGTGAGCGGAGCGCAAAAAGCATTACAGAGGGCACAGAAGGTCTTTATCAGATCTCAACTTAGATTATTACGATAGAGGCGTCAGGTATCCTAGGCTCTCTGGGTTGTCAGAAAACTGCCTAACCTAGACGGCAGAACTGCGATAACCTCTCCTAATACATGCCCAGTTAGACGCCCCGAAGACGCAGCGGGAACCCATCAAGACTCCCCAACTCCCGGC